TTTTTCATTGGGCGGGGTTTTAACGTGGCGGGACCCAAACCCAGCGCACGCGAAGTTTTACGCCTTCTCACTTTAGCTCGCTCCCAAACGGGTGTTTGGTTGCTACCCAGAGGATACGTGGATATAAATATCCGGACGTTGTGAGCTGCGATTTGAACCGTGCGCACAAGAATCGCTTCTGGCCACTCCCAGGTGAATGGCAGTCAAAAGTTTTCCACTTCTGCGCACGGAACCATCCTCCAAGTTTTCCACTTCTGCGCACGGAACCATCCTCCGTGAGGTTCACACTTTGCAAATACGATGGAGAAGGTTCCTTTTTAAGCTTCCATCTGTTGCCAGCTTTCTGAAAGCGTCAGGAGGAAGGTACACTGAAAACAGCATTGAAACATAAGCGCATCTAGTGAATAACTAGTTTTCTGGATGTGACAATATAGAGCGAGCAGCCAGTCTCGTTACAGTAACTCCTATCGCTTACTAGGTAAACAGTCCAGTAGATGAAATAGTCACAGAAGATGAGTCAGTGTGTGCTATTTACCGCAATACATATGGTATAAATCAACCTCTAAAAAAATTTGCCACAATGACTTTTAACCGACTACTTTTTTTTTAAGTTATTGTGGATCCAAATATTATCCTTAGGATCGACTAATATGAAGTACAAGAACCAAAACGAAAAATGGCACTAAAGATGACACAATGTCGAAACGGTTTGCCTCCAGACAAAAAATGACAATGAATGCCATAAATTCATTCAAAAAAAATAATAAAAAAATAAAAAACATCATACTCCTACCTTGTCGGAGGCATTAACAATCAAAAAGGAAACGAGGTATTTTTAGGGTGGGCAGGGAAACAGAGCAGAGACGAGGTTCTAATCTACGCAGAAGGCTCCAAAATACGTCATGTAACAGTATCGATAATTTTTTCTTAGAAACTTGCCTTCCCAGATTACTGGTACGTACCCAAGGCTAGGGTAAGCAATTGACAAGGCGGCGAAGTTGGTTCAAATTATCGAATTGGATCCATCAGAACTTACCTTTTATACGAACACTCATGCTGCTATCAAGACCTTGGCTCTGGATCGGGAACAAATAACTCGATATACGTTAAAAAAATGCCGATGATCCCAATAAACTCTTCCGAGAGCTTATAGTCAATCTATTTTTGGTCCCACAGACGAGTGGGCGAGAAAAGATCTGAGGTAGGATTATGGAAGTTTTCCAAGCCTCTCAAAACCGAAAGATCGGTTTCCATTACAGTATTGAAGGTTTACTGAACCTAGGCTACATATTTAGACGCCAGGTTCGAAGCCCTACGTAAGGACCTCTGTATACGCTATACTCGTAAATAAGGAAGAGATCATTCAATTCATACAGCACTTCCTATGTGAGTGCCCCAAAATCCTGAGAAAACTCCGCAAACTGCTAGGTGAGCCATTTTTTGAGAGTTTAGTCCGCTTAGGCAAAACTCCATTAAGGATTCTATTAGGTATCGCCTGTAAATCGGGATGGTTTAAAGGCAAACAGGAACATCTCTGAATTCTGTCGTGGGAATCACAACCGGCCTGCCCCGCATCCGCATTAACTCTTCAACTGGAGCAGCACGTTGAACCTAGCCTAACCATGTATCCTTTAACATATCATATCAGAGTAAAAAAAGTTTGAATCCGAAAATCAAATATTCGCGTAAAGCAGTACCGAAAATCGCCCGTAAATTTCTTAACAAAAATACATTGATTCTAAATATCAACTTAGCCGGTAATTTGAGAAAAAATTAGTATGAAATTCATCGAGCCAAAAACAAGGTGGAAAATACTTATTCTGAAAAATTCAATCGGTTTCCTAAAGAATGTCTGTCAAAAGTTCATTTAAATAAACGGTATTATTTCCATTTTTTACAGCATATGTTTATTGCTGGATATAATATTTTCACATTTGCTGAAATGACAACAAATTATTAGCATTGTGTTTCTACAAAATATTATTTTTATGAAAGATGCAAATTTGGTACTATATATGGACTAGTGAAATAATTGATTAGGATGAGCTCAGCATTTCATAAAATTCCAACAACTACTCAAATTGGTCGTACGAATATGAATGCATACATACTAATAGTTAATTACATCAGCTTTTGAAGGTGGTAATAAATATTTATAGATTTCCAAAGTAAAATTAATTTGGTAAAATTTTTATTTTTTATAGTTAAATAACAATAACATGACTAATTGTACATTAAGGCGCATCACTCTCCATAAGAAAAATCGGCATGCTTTTCCATAAAATTTGTAAACTTTGTTATGCATATTTTAAAACTACTGCTAAAATATATGGGAAAATATTAAGATTCCCATAAGCTTTACCGATTTGAAAATACTTCTGAAAATTGAGTTTTTTTGTAAATAAAATTAGTTTTTAAAAATATTTTTCCCACAGAAATGATCTCGGATGATAGAAGAGTTTAGACTAAAAGAGTCTGCCTAAAAATATTTAAAAATTTTCTTACCCTATTAAGCTGGCATTTCAGGGTACTATTTTATATATATACAAGAAAAATTTGAAAGTTAGGGGGGGCTCGAGCACCCCCCTGCCCCTACCTGGCTACGCCCATACATAATGTATGTATGTATTTATGTACATATCTATATAATTTTTGCTTTTCGAATCATTTGTATTCCAATTTGTACACAGATAATGCTTAAAAACCCAAACAAAACTTGAACTCGAGGTTATAACAACGCAGTTGATGCAGTGAAAATAGATAGATAAGGGCAACGCAGAGACTAATCGACTCGACTATTTTGCGAATATGTATATGTTTGCATTTCAGTGAGCAGCTCATTTCTATTAGTTTTTCAGCCAATAGCCAAAGATACTTTTCTATTTCTATAAATTGGTATATTTTTATTTTTGCCAGCCTGTTTTGAGATTGCCTATTCCCTTTACCAAATGNGAGTGGCCCCACCGAAGCTCCCTCTCTTTCTGCCGTGACCCAAGGCTCCACTCGGATTGGTTACCGCATCTCGCACATGGGTTGCTCACGTTGCCCAGAGTGCGCGAACGAGGACGCAAGAGTCGGGATTGAGTATAGCCATGCAACTGTAACTGCATACCCAGCGCAATGACTATACCCCATTGCACTCCAATGATTGTTTAAGTACTTAAAAATGTTGAAGTTTAAATATGGCTTCACGATCTTTCTCAGAGGTCTTTAGAAAATAGCATACTGGATTGACAGGTATTAACCAAATACTAACCTTCTAGATCTTGCTTGTCCCTATACACTAACGTGTTACTTTCCATACCGCGCCTAGTGAAAACTCGTCATTAGTAATGTAATATTTAGCTCTAAGACAAAGGATGCAATTCCTTCCTAGACCAAGCATTGAAAGATATAGTAAGATACGTTTGATTCTATTAGAATAGCAGACACTTTTTTGGCTTTCATCTCCTTAATAGAAATTCTTCGAAAATCTTGGTAAAAAATGTCCCACAAAATTTTCTGTTTCATTTTAAAGAAACCATGTTTTTCGTGGATTATGGATTTTATGTTACTCAATTGGCATAATCAGCACTCTTCTCCTCTGATGCCGTTAGGGAAGAATGGAAGTTAACGAAAACAGCGTCCAGCTCAACATCTATTCATTTCAGTGGGTCCTACTGGGCACTGAGGTCTTAATCTATTCTTTCAAAATTCTAGATCTACGCAAGTGGTTTGAAGCATAGGATCGAAACATGCGAAAATTCAGCGCTCTAGAAAGGCATCAGTAGGTCTGCAATGGCCTCGAGCTACTTTGTTCTTGTCCTTCCATGATATCAATATGAAATGTGAAAGCACTGTATTCCAAATCCTTGGATTTCTGTATTGGATTTTTCTATGTATATGATCAATCAGGTTGAACAAACATGCAAATTTCCAAAAATAAATATTTTTCAATGTTCAATTGCTTGCTCTATGCTATGTACTACTTTCTTCAAGCATCAATGTTTTGGTTTTTTTCTAAAATTTTCGTCTCAATAACTAGCAGTGCAAAAGTAAGAGTCTAGCAGCAGTGATTTATGCATGTTTGCTACATGTGAATGGAGTATAATCGAAAGAGGAAATTTAAAAATGTTTAAATGCTGAAGAAAGTGTGTGTATTAAGTAAAGAGTACTTACATTTGGAGCTGTCTGCGTGTTTGAACATTTTTAGCAGCGAAAAATTAGAGAAATTTATTTAGTATTATGAAGGTATAAAAAGAGTTTCAGAAAATGTTAAGAAATAGGTGGAAATGTGTTTAAATATGAGCACATGTGTTTTCAGATAAATTTTGCAGTGGCTGGGAGAAGGGAAAATTCAACAAATTCTGTAGGATGTAAGGAATCGCTTTAATAAAATTTGTGACATCTTATATACATATATAAGAATAACACTAAGACGACCGTTGGTGTAAATAGAGTGTTATAAATTGTTTAAATTGTTTTTATGAAAATATAGCAGTGGTAAATAATTTTTAAACATAATTTTTCTCTCCTCATACCACAAGAAAAAAACATATTTTCTTTGCTAGAAATAGCAATAAAAAATGTGTACGTATGAAATACTCAGAAATCCTTTGTTATTTTGTGCACATTGAAGCTTTTTTCTTCGCCGATGAGAACGTTCGTCTTTAAAAATGTATTTTAAAACAAAATTTTATAGCCGCGCGTGAGCGTAAAGCAATAAAAACGCTTCTTTTTAAATTTTTTTGCACAGTCACTGCGTGATGAGTGTAAATTTGCCAGTGAATGCCGTTTTTGTGAGCTTTTTTATGGAGACGACTAGTGCTTCCTCATTTTTTATGTGCCAAGTAAAGACTGGCCTATAGAGTGTGGATATTACTTTTTTTTTAATTCGTTTAATAAATATATTTACTTATATTTTACTTTCATTTGGTTTTTCAAAAATACACTATTTCTTAAGCCTTAATTGCCTAAACGTTTTTTGATATTGGTAATAAAGAAAAATTATATTTACAACACAACTAAAAACATATTTCTTACTTGTAAAATTTTTTTTATAAATTTTAAATTTTTTACTAATAAAATACCGAAATACCCATCTGTTTTTAATTTTAAAAGTATTTAGATTATAACTTTTTTATTTCACTTGATAGAAAACTTCTTATTTTACTTGATAGGAAACTTCGTGTACTTAATTTTTAAATTTGTTTAGTTATTTTGTTTTTTTTTTAGTTTCTTTTTTTTTTGTTATATTACGTATTTAGTTGGTTTTGATGCCCATTATTTTTTATTTTTTATCATTAATTTTACTTTGTTTTATACAGCTTTATATTATTTTTTATTTTTTTTTTATTTTGTGTTGACATCTGATTTCATCTTATTTCACTTAATTCTTTTTTTCATTTTTTACCTTATTTTTTTATTATTTTTTTTTCAATTTTCTTTATAAATTCTTTATTTTGTTTTTTTTTTACTCAACTTATTTTAATTTTTTTATTTTTTTATTTTTTATCTGTTAAATTTTTAATTTTACTCTATTTTTATCTGTTCTTTTTCATATAACTTTATTTTATTTTTTTTTTTTATTTCATTTGACCTAATGTCTTTTTTATTTTATTACTACGCTAAACCAGCAGGAACGGAAATTTTGTCTAAGGGCCGGTTACTCAATGTCTGGATAACAGTAACATCATTATCGACGTGACGCTCGAAGTGTTTTCCATTGTATAGCGACTTCAGCAACCCATATTTTTTAAACGAGAAGACATCGAAGTTTACAAGTATGTATATACATATGAATGTGAATATGCATAAAAATGTCTAAAAATTTTATCAACGGAAAATATAATAAATTTTATAATTCTGGTTGAAAAAACGCAACTTTTTTTGGAGATGTACCCTAATGCATAAGCACAGTCAGTGTCAAAATTTAGTATATACATTGTTCTACGTAATATAGGTAATACATAATCACAATTATTTTCATTAAAATTTTTTTCAGTCATTTTTTTTTATGAAAATATAGTTCATTCTATAACATAAACCATAGAAATCAAAGTTTCACACTTATATAAACTTACAAAAATTTTATCGAGATTTCAAACGTTTTAGTACAACAAATTGCAGGTTTCAAGTCGTTAAAAATCCGTTGATTTTTTAGAATTTTTTTGTGGGGGCGTTGAGCATTTGCTTCCATAAAACGCACGATCAAAATTTATTTTTATATGCAGGAAAATGCGCAACACCCTCCACAAAAAAAATGAATGGACTACAAAACTGCATAGTGATAATAGATTAATGTAAATATTATATTAGAACAATGTGTACTAACCTTTGACTCTGACTGTATGTACTCTGTAGATAAGTAATTTTCTAAAGTGGAGTAATGAACTGTATGAGTCAGATATCTAAATCAACAATTGTTTCAGAAATTATATATTTCTTCCACCCCCAATTATCAATTTCTACCAAAGTTTTTGTTTATTATTTCTACTCGAATTTCTTTCAAATTTAACCATGTATGTATGTATATTAAGCATGAGTATTTTTATACATATCCGCATTTTACATACTAAGTAGCTCACACCTCTGCACTCATAAAATAGCAAATTAAATATTTATTAAATTCCTGGAATTCTTGTAAACAAAAAATATTTTGCGTCTGGTTTACAGATTTTCACACATTCATGCGTATAATTTTGTACACATGTGTTGTACATAGGTATGTATATATGTATGTACGAGTATAGTGCTACATACGTACATAAATCACACACCGGCATGTGCACGCGCCTTATATGCATTTTTTTCACCTCTTACTCATAGCATATTCAGTGAAATGCTCACGAAAAAATGTAGCTAAAAAAAATATTTTTTTTTATTCTAATTTTTTTTATTGGGACGTTCGCAAGCTTTTTCAATGTATTCTATTTTCAATATTTAGTTTTTATGGACACGTAAAAACACAAACGATTTTCAATTAATATTTTTAGCTAATCGTTTCGACAACGAAAATATTTCAAAGCGTTTGTAATGGAATTTACAAACCAAAGTCCGCAACAACATTTCAAACGATCATAAAATATTTATCTACTAATTATTGGAGCAAAAAAAATAATAATTTTGTATAAATGGATGCGTGCTAGAAATGCGCAATTAAAGCAGCAAAGCAAATGGAATAATCGAATACCAACAAATTTTATAGGAAAGGCGAAACGTGGAAAATTAAAAAAAGCGGGAAAACGTTTGAATTATTTATTTGAAAACTTGCGTTCGAAATATTTTTTTTTGTAATTTTCTTCCTGTTTTGGGCTATGACAACAAAAAGTTATGTTTTACTATAAGCATTTAGAAAAACACATTTCGTCAAATGGAAAAAAATTACAAGCGCTAACAAATTTTACGTTAAATTGTATAGGTAAGTATGTTTGTACATATATCGTACAAACAAAAAAATTTCGCCATACACCCCTAAGTGTCTAAATATTTTTGCGCGGCGATTTTGAAAAAAAAAATTTTTTGCCCGACCTTCTTACATTTTTGTTGACACCAACATTCGACGACAAATTTTTGTTTTAATTGTTCTACTGGAAAAGTCAAAAGACTTCCTTAGCAAAAGTTTAATGATTTTTTCTGAGCTTTAATTTTCTGATATTAGGGTGGTACGCTAGGGTGATAACAACTGAGATCTGGTGGATAAGTACTAGAGCGGGTAACTTGTGATCAATGAACTTTGAAACGAAAATAATTCTCGTCCAGACAAGAATACCGATACATAAATCTTTAAGATTCGGCTGCAAGTGGCGAACATATGCAATGTTCGGCAAAAAAAACAAAATTNTATGCTGGAACCTAGTACTACATATTACCATATTTCGGGCCCCGGCGAAGTCGATCAGCCTCAGTCCGTTATCGGACGTTTCGTCGTGGAGGCTGAATTTTCCGACAGTGGCGCCAAAGATCCCTTCCTTGCCCACCTTGGCATTAAAATCGCCAAGCACGATTTTGACATCGTGTCGGGGGCAGCGCTCATATGTACGTTCCAAGCGCTCATAGAAGAGATCCTTGGACGCCTCATCCTTCTCATCCGTCGGGGGTATGTACATATGCGCATTAGGGTGCTCCAAAAATATTTGTGAAATGCAAAACCGAATTTCTATGCTCTAACCCCTAGTATTGCTCTATACCGAAAAAATATACCCCTATTTTTTATTTTTAAATCAAAATATATTTAGAGGTCGCTCAAAGCGCTCAAAGTTTTCCATGTATTTTCTATAGGAAAAACAACTTTTCGTAGAAATTGTATAGAATTCTTGAAAATCAATATTTTTAGATCGGAAAACCCTGCTTCTCTTCAGTAGATTCCCAATAATAATACCAAATTACTTAATTGACCATTTTTGTATAGCAACTTTATTTTATAGGTCCGCCAAAAACACCAGAAAATGCAATGGGAGGACCAAAAAAATTTAAGTATTAAAAAATGTCTAAATAAACAGTTGTGTATTATTATTGGAAGTCTCCTGAAGATAACCAGAGTTTCCCGATCGAAATATATTGATTTTTAAAAATTCGACTCCATTTCTACGAAAAGTGGTTTTTTCCCGTAGAAAATACATAAAAAGCTTTTAGCGCTTTGATTTAAATATTTTTTTCTAATTCAAAATAAAAATAAGGGTATATTTTCTCGACATAGAGCAATCCAAGGGTACCACCCTAATGTCCATTCACAGTACATACCTACAACAATTGTAAGCCAATATTTTTTATCTTTTTTACTAGCCACGTGCGCGCCTTTTTAAGGGCCAATTTCACAATGCGTAGTTAACTCAGAATCGGGAGTTAACTACAGAATTTTGTACTGAAAATCTCTAGTTAACTGTCGACTCTGAGTTAACTACGCACTGTGATATTGGCCCTAAGTGGCCCGAAATTTTATAGACAAAATAAATCAATTTTCCTTTTCTCTTAAAGCCACTTGCCGAAGGCCTAAATATTTAGTTTGGGTTCCTTTCCTTTTGTAAGAAAATTCTTCTATGTATGTATAGCATATGTATGTATGTTTGCAAAGAATTTTCTTATGCAAATCACACGCAGCCGTTGGGTAAACTTATTATAACTGTGTCGAATGATATATCCAATTTTTAAAACAAATTTCGCAATTCGTTGGCAGGCCGCACAACCTTGAA